TTGACTGAGATGAAAATGAGGGTGACGGTTACTTTAATGAGGATTAGTCAACTTTAAATTTTTTAAAATGGGACTCTGACTTTCACTTTTTTCACGATTTTCAATTAAGATTAATTGAATTGATAATTTCTCAATAATAAAACACTGATCCACTCATTATCGTTGATACATTGACACAAGGACTTCTGAAGGGGTCACCACATGACTCTACAAGCTAACACACACCAAGGTAAAGGACAATTGTATCAGTAGTACACGGTAGAATTATCAATAATTTGAGATTACTGATAACTTCCTAATAATTTGATACAAGTTGAGCCTATCTTGCTAGAACCAACCACAACTTGCCTTGGCAAGGATGCCGTAGCTTTGAGATTCAAAAGGAAGGTACGGAACAAGATATTACAGTGTGACAATACAATACTTTTCGCCAAATGGTTTTCTTATTCTAATTATTAATTTAAAATTAAATTTTTAGCGCAATATATTTGTATACTACTTTTGTTGGTTTTAATAAAACTGTTGGTATTCTCAAATAGCTATGTTGCATAAGTTACTTGCAGTGGCAACATTTCTTCACTTCAGACAAAAATACTGTGATTATACCCAGTAACAAGTTACTATTTGAATATCAATAACTACAAAGTTTGCTCTCAAACTAAACATCCGAATAGTGAGCTAAGTTACTGTGGAAAAATAACTGTTCAATTGATGGTCGAAGATAATTAAATTATTGAAACACATATTTTCTTCAGTTATATGCAGTAATATCTTACATCTACAAAACACTTTAAATGCGATGGTATTGTATAATGTAGACATTTTGTGATATTTGTTAGTGTTGGCTGGTCCACATGGGAAAATTGTGGAAGTTGTTGGAGAACCTCGAATATCGTGAATCAAGCTTGTAACACTCTATAATACCAATATATCAATATACTAGAATTGAATGGTATCATAAACATACGTCATCTCCAATGATTTTTTGTGTTTACTATATGATTAATGGACTACTAGCAATATGATCATTGTGAATCGCAAGAACAATAAGGATAGCACAATATGTAACATTTTTGATAACATTGAAAATCACCAACTAGCAGTACATTATTTTTGTCCACATGTCTTTTTAGGAGCTGGTGATTGAGATCTTAGAGATATTTCAGTAATCACTGGACAGCATTCGGTTCCAGACAAGAACAATTAATTTTCAAGAAGGAGGTGCAATTCTTTATTGATACTATGTATTTACATTCTAATATTTACAATTTAAACAAGACTATCTTGAATCCTTATTCGAAGCATTATTTAAAGCAGTAGTATAATTAAGTATTGATTGAATGTTTGAGGAATTAAAATTTGGATGTTGATATTTCTTATTATTATTATGAATATTATTATTATTAGAATTGGATGAAACATTTAAATCAGTACCAAATGGAATTGAAAATGATATTCTCCTTTTATATCTTTTAACACCTAATGATGGTTTGAGTGAAGATGATTGAAAATCAATTCTTTTAACAGGTTTATGTACTTGATAGGATATCATTGTAATTCTTGGACTATTAGGTATTTGATTCATATGTGATTTACATCCAAAGTTACTAGTAGTATTACTAATATTAGATATATTACTACTATTATTACTCATACAACTACTATTTATAGAAGAAGATGTTGATGATCTCATATTTAATGAATTTGATCTATTAGATGTTGTTGATGTAGCTGATGATATTATAGTAATAGGTGTTGATTTATTACTCATACTAGATGAACATCTACTTGATGATTGTTTGTTTATCATTTTCAATTTCTTTTAAAATTTTAATATCAAGTTATTGTGTTGGTTTGTTTTTGTTTTTTTAATTGATGATGAATAAAAACATTGAAAGAGTGAAAGTATTTATGTAAATAATGAGAGAGATTTAGAAAGAGCCCAAAAGGATCCACAATCAAAATAGTATATTTTTTATATTTAATTGACATTCTCAATTAGCGTACATCTCTTCTTAAAAAATATTGTGGTTCTTCATTAAGGAACTTCAACTATAAATTTGCTGATTGTGTCAGTATAGATTTGAAAATCAAATGTTAAGAGAGCGATAACATTGACTACTGTATTTGATACTCAATTACGTTTACAGCAAATTAGTGGTATAATTTGGTGTCATATCTTGGGGGAATAGGGAAATATCACTTGCTTTCAAACTTTAAAACACATCAAATCAACCCACACCTAGACTGGTTTCCAAAATGAAGTCTAAATTATTAGACAGTTTCGTTTTCAGTATAAGATACCTTCCTAGATTTAGACCTCACTATTAATAATTGAAGCACCAACCATGCTTAAATATATTTCCATAAGGAGCATCTGACAAAATTCATCTTCTTGATGCTACTACTGTTTAAAATATTGTCACATTTTTACTTAATTATTGGCTCAGTTCCTCAACTCATAAACAATAAAACAGTAACATGTTAAGAAACAAGGGACCCATGACCAATTACAGATTGTATTATTTGATATATCTAGAAGTTTTAACTGACATATAGTTTCCACAAGTAGATACATTTTTATACCAAATTA